AAACGGTAAAACATATTAAAAATGTCGAAACCACAAACGGAAAACTGTTTAATTCTTGGTGACATTTAAATGACGTAAGCTAATTTTTCTTATATATATATATATTTATGTGTAAAGTCTTAAAAGCTGTGGGCGTCATTAGATGTCGAATCAAAACATGCAAAAAGACAGCAGTAATAAAAGCTGTGTGCAGATACTTTTAACTTCAATTAATAGAATTTCCATATTAAAAAACATTTCTCTCTCACTCACCTAAAATCCAAACTTAAATTCCGCTGATGCGTTGAAATGCGCTTAGGCGGATTTGTCCCCGCCGCTTCGCCAGATCCCACACCCGCCCCTGCGCCGCACGCCACACTCAAATTCGGTCGTCCATGCACCGATGGCATCGAGTGATTGATGAAGCGGCTCAAACTCAAACGTGGCTTGGGGTAACGTATATGCTTCGGTGTAGTCGACGCCGAGTTCACAGGCGTACTACCAGCGCACATGCCACCATTCATGCCATAAGCTTGATAATGTGGTGGCATCGATGCCAAGCTGCTGTTGCCGTTCGGCATAATGATGGGCAACGTGACGGGCGCAGACTTGAGAAAAGCAGGCACGTAATCCGCATCTGCAGCATTGCAGCTGACCATATCTGTGGGTGAAGATGGTGTCGAATTGACGCTGACGCCACTGCCTGTAGACGACAATGTCAACGTGGAATTGTGTGGTGAACAGTTGGCTAGCGTAGTCACGTCACAGCTGGTGGTCGAACTGCACGAGCTTGGACCCGAATTGCAGATGGCAATCGATGAAGGTGCTGATGTAGTGGCAGAAGTGCTGGAGGATGATGATGATGTTGAGGAATTACTGTGCAGACTTTTGGCTGGACTGGGTTGTGCTGGTACGGGTGGGGGTGCGACGGTTGAAGACATTGTCGTTGTGCCACACATTGTGGCCTCTACTGTCCCCGTCGTCGCACGTACACCTGTGGGACTATGCACAACTGTGCTATTGCTATGCTCACTGGAACTGCTCGTGCATGCCGCCGCCGAATGCTCTGATTCATCATCATCTGCGTCGAGTAGCTGCTGCACCGGACTGCTAGGGGACGGTGGACTCGCTAGTCCATTTGCTAACGTCGTTTTGCTGCCGTCGAGCGCCTCATTGCAATTGCCATTCTCAACATTGGACACTGTGGCGATGGTTGTTGCATTTGCAATGCCATTATCAGCGCCACCACCACCCCCATTCATCGTCGCACACTTGGCACCATTCATATTATAGTCGGCAGGTAGCGTCGCCGTCGTTTCCAAGGCCGTGGCTAGACGTACTGTTGCGGGCGCGTGGTCGACTACATCGACACAAGGCGGTGATCGGAAGTCGTCGACTACTACCACCGGCGAAAGCATCTTCGTCGCCGTTTCGATTTCGCGTATGTGTCGCAGGTACTGATAACCATTGTCTTGTGCATTGATGACGGCCTTCTTCTTCGAGCTGGCATTGGCTGTGTTCGAGGTGCCGCCGCTGGCAAGTGATTTGTCATTGGCGGCTGCATTGTTGCTGGAACTCTTCTTAGTTTTAAACGCGGAGATGACAGAATTCATATTGGCTTTTTGTGCTGACAGTGCGTGTGTATTCACTTGAGTTGAGTATTGAATTAGTTCACAAAGAGCATGGATCAATCACAAAAAATGTTTGTTCAAACATTGGTGTGCAGTCTCAAAAGTGGTTTGCTTGGGTTCATTCGAAATATATCAATCCATATCCCGTTGCCTACTTAATGAGTATTCGTTTAAATCACAACCATCTTTACTCGCCAAATTTTCCTTAGTCCATGATGGATGCTTCGAGCTGTTTATGGGAGTTGTAAACCAAAGTTGTGGTGTTGTGGTACTATGGTACTATGCAGCATTCAGCAAAGTCTCAATGGAGCAGCAGATTACTGAGACTTCAGCAGACATGTTGAGAAAATAGATTTTTTTTTTTTAAATCTAAAATTGAAGAAAATATTTGTTTAGCATAAATTTTTAGAATACTTGCAGAATTAAGTAAGTAATAAGGTGTAATAAAAAGTTATATATAAAGGGGGAAAATACGCACAACGGAGTTCTAAACATTTTAAGAAGATTAACATCATATCTTGGCATACATTTTGGAGTACCACTCCAAATCGAATCACATCAGATCAAGTCTTCATCAAATCACATCACATCGAGATATCAAATGACAATACATCTCATCAGATCAGCTCACATTACATCACATCAAAGCAAATCAAATCAGATCACAGCAATTCTAATCAGAAGATATCAAATCATCTCACCAGATCAGCTGATATCTCATCACATCAAAGCAAGTCAAATCACATCAGTACATCACATCTAATTAAATGAGAAGATATCAAGTACAGCACATTAAATCGAACTCCATAAAATCAAATCAAATCCATTCATATCAAACACAAAGTGATTACATCAAATCAAATCACTTTAAGGCAAATCAAAGAATATATAAAATCACAACACATATCGCGAGATCTCACCACGTCACATCAAAGCATATTAAATCTAATGAGAAGATATTTAATCACATCAATCACATTCAATCAAATGTTATGAAATTAAATCATATCACAACAAAAGTGATGATATCACAATAAATAACATCACGTCAAATGAAATCGATTTAAATCACACCAAACCATGTCACTTAATTCAAATCATATCGAATTGAATCAAATCAAATTGTATGTGAAGATATCAAGTCATACATATAACATGTCATCACACGAAACCACACCATATCACATCAGAAAAAAGCAATCACGTTTGGATGAAATTTGTCACGTAGTTATATGCTTTAACTTGCATTAATCTATAGAATACTTTTTAAGAGAGTTGCCACTTGTTCTAAAAGTTAAAATGCATTTATTTAATATTTTTAATGAAATATTACAATATAAGATATCAAAGAAAAAAGTTAAGCGGGTTTATTTCGTTTGAAGAAAGTTGCCACCCGTTTTAAAAATTAAGCACATTTAAAAAGGTTAAATGAAATAGTACATAACACTGGTTTCAAACGAGAGGGTTATAATAAGGTTCTACTTCGAAAATATTTCTTAATGGGGTTGCCAGCTGTTTAAAAAGTTGAGTTCAATTAAATAAAAAATTTAAATGAAATATTAAAATATATGGCATCAAACGAAAGAGGCTTAAGAGGGTTATATTTCTAAGAAACGTTTGAAAAGAGTTGCCACCTGTTTTAAAAATTAAGAACATTTAAAAAGGTTAAATGAAATAGTACAAAATATGGGTTTCAAACGAGAGGGTTATAATAAAGTTTTATTTTGAAAATATTTCATAATGGGGATGCCAGTTGTTTAAAAAGTTGAGTTCAATTAAATTAAAAATTTAAATTAAATATTACAATATAAAGATCAAACGAAAGAGGCTTAGAGGGTTTTATTTCTAAGAAACGTTTGAAGAAAGTTGCCACCTGTTTTAAAAATTAAGCTCAATTCAAAAAGTTAAATGAAATAGTACAAAACATGGGTTTCAAACGAGAGAATTATAATAAAGTTTTATTTCGAAAATAATTCTTAATGGGGTTGCCACTTGTTTTTATTTAATATTGATGTCAAAGGAAAGAACACGCTACGAATAAAATTTGCGCTTTGTCGCATTCTTTGCTTTCCGCTAAATTAGTGCACTAACTTTGCCGCAACACAACTTCTGCACGTACGCAATTCCTTCAAACTTCACAGCTAAAAAATTAAATCAACAAAAAATTCGAGCTTACTTTAAAACAGAACAAGCCATCAGCAGAGCAGACTCCACGCTGCTTTTCAACATTTTGTTTATTCACCGAATTCCGAAGTTACATATTTTAAACGCGGCATGGCATGCAGACACAAAAGCAATTATTTCGAGAGCAGTCGAACAGCATGTAGACAACAAGTCTGCTATATGTAGCTGTACAAAGTTCGAACATATATGTATGTATGACATTTTGACCATAGTTAAATTTACTATGAGACTACTGCTGCTGACTCATAGTCGCGGAATTTCGATGACAATCACTGAATTCACAACACACAAATGTACATACATATGTATATATTGATGTAAAATAATATAAAACAGACGGAGGAGGGATGAGTGGGGTGAAATACAGAGGCGCACTACTAAGTGCTTAGGCCTAGCAGAACAACAGACAGGCAGACATCAGTCAGTTAGCTTATCGATCAATGATGATACGGATTCGTATTTACATTAGTCAGACTATACGGCAGCAGCGACGCCAGTGGGTGTGGGCGGGCGCTTTGGAAGTGCTAATATGACGATTAGGCGGCTGAAATAGACAAAAGACATGGCATAACTAGGGCGTCCTTGGTGATGCCGCTGTAAGCGATGAAAACGCGTGTGACGGACAGAAATAAATTTGAGTCGACAGTAAATAAGGTATTTTAGCACATTAAGTGGCGATAAATTGTAGGTGTGGTGGCATGGTAATGAACCGCTTAATTCGAAGAGAGAACGGTGAAAAAAATGGAAAAAATAAAATAAAATAAAATAAAATTTATTAAATAAAAAGTGGGGAACCAAACAGGAGGGCAACAATAAATGTTGCCTAGGCGCGACTACTAATACCAAGCGCCTAAATGCATGCTATACACTGCTGCATGTGCGAAAATTTCCTTCATTCAATTTATGAAATTTTTGCACATGCACTTCTCAATTGCCATATAATAAAACTTTCATAAGTTATAATTTGATGACATTTAGAAGTAGGCTCACCCTAGTCTGATGCATCCTCCGTACAATGCCTCCACAGTTTCTTGCGAACTCTGATTTATCGTAAGTCTTACATAGTGATGTGCTGAGTCGATACTTTTAGGTATTGATCGATACTCGGTACTAAGGATGGGTAGTGGGGGGTTGAAATTAGATTTTTTTCGGATTTCGAACATTGCCCAACCATTCGATTATTCGATTCGAAATTTGATGGTACAAATTCGATTTAATTCGATTTTTTCCGAATTTTAAAATTTTTTTTTACTGAAAATTAAAAAGTTTCTTTGTAATGTAGGTCAAATCGAAAAAGACACTCAATTGAACTTACATTAAAGTGATTAATTATCCGTATCGTAGCTTCACAACCAAAAAAAAATACAAATAAGAAGTATTTTTTTCTCAAAAAATTTCAGAGAAAAATCCAAAAATGTATATCATGTATTTTTTTTTACTACCAATTAAAAAAAAATTAACAAAATGTACTTTTATTTATTTTTCGTGTTTTACAAGAACAAAAGAAATTTGTACGTACTTCACGTTACATACTTATACACTTATACGTATGCATGTTTATACACATATTGATGTCAGGTTTAGTCAGAAAGATGAAAGTTGAAGAGTTTTTGCGAATAAAGACGAAATTCGATTTTTTTTTTTTAATTCGATTTTATCCGAATTTTAGCACCACGAAGTTAAAAAAATAAAAAATTTAAAAACTATTCAATACTTTGATACTCGGTACCGAAATATTTAGGTATCTAATAAAAGCGCGCATAGGCCAAAAATATGGAAAAAACTGGTTCAGGGGAGACTCGCTTATTAAAGGTCGAATGTAGGGGCCAAGACAGTTTTTAATACTTTACTGTTGCGATAAGTTCATGTTTTTTAGCCGATATCATATAAAATAGTATTGAAATAATTTTTTTTCTCAACTTGAAATACATATGACGGTGAAGGTTTGAAGGTGAATGTAAAGAATCGGTATTGGGTACCGAAAATGAAGTATCTGGGTACCGAACTCTTTTAGAAGTATTGGGTACCGACAATTCTTACAATCTTGCAGAGGTGGTAAATGATGTTTACCATTGGCCACAGTGCCTACACAAATTTTTTTTCGAATTAATAATTTTTTTATGTTTACATAAACTGCCGGCAAAAAGTATTGGCACAGCAAATTTTTCGCAATATATGCAAGACAAATTTTTCTAATATTTTTCCGCAAATTTTTTATAAAAATATGGCACATTCTACAACAAAAAAACATAAAAAAAATTCCTAAACTTTGAGCAAAACTCACGAAAATTCAGCAAATTTTCAACTTTTTAATCAGATTTTTTAGAATTTTTTTTTGTTGAAGGTGTTTTGAATTTTTTCCATATAAAGTATTTTCGGAATTGTTTTTTGTATGGAAGAGACTGTGTGAAAAAAATTGCCAAAAATCAACGGTAATTCCTAGCTACTTAAAACATACCAAAAAAACTCTAAAAAATCTGATTAAAAAGTTGAAAATTTGCTAAATTTTCGTGAGTTTTGCTCAAAGTTTAGGAATTATATTTTTATGTTTTTTGTTGTAGAATATTTTTTTAAAAAATCGGCGGAAAATATTAGAAAAAAATTTTTTTTTGCATACATTGTGAACAATTTGGTGTGTCAATACTTTTTGCCGGCTGTGTATGCATATATTTTTTATGTAAATCACTGAGTTACCCAAATGTAGAAACTAGTAAAAAAAAATATGAAAATGGAAAATATTAACGGACTGATACAGTTTTTCAATTCTAATTTTACCAATACTTTGATATTTGCCATCTTTCTGTTTTTAATTTATGTACCCTTTTTTCATTTTAGGTAGCATTTACTACCTAAGTTTAAAAATAGTCATAAATAACAGCGTTGACAGAAATATTACGCATTTCGCACGTTTCTGAAAAAAACTATACTCGAAAAAAGTACTTTCTTAATTGAAGCGCATGACATAAAAACCCAAGTTTTTTTTCTTTTTAAATATGTCACCTGCACTTGTCACACTTAACCCTTCTCACTCTTAAAAAAGTACGAGAAAATGAAACGGCCAGCAAGCAATCTGGTAAACTTGTTCCGTTCAGTAAGACAAGAAATAAATTTTAAACGTAATTTATGGGAATACGAGACATTATTTGCCTTTGGGACAAAATGAATTATATTATTCAAGTCTGCAC